GTCTATGAAGATCTATTATGTATATCACATGTCTTTTTTTGAGTTGTATAAGACAGTGAATATCTTAGAAAGAAGACAAATGCCACTTCTTGCTATAGAAGTAGATAATAATTAAGAGTTTGAGGTGGAAGAAGTCTTAGACTCAAAGTGGCACCAAAATAGGTTGGAATATCTTGTTCATTGGCGTAGATATGATATTAGTAGACACACATGGGCGAAATCAAAGAATCTTACAAATGCAACAAAGAAAGTTGAAGACTTTCATCAACAACATCCATCAAAATTAAGATGAAGAATAACAAATCTTTGTTATAAAAGAAATAAGATCAAAAAAACATAACACTCTACCTTCAATATTTCTTTATAGCTTCTTTGTAATTATGATGCTAAGAAGATGGAGAACCAACAACCAGCAAATTCAACTTAAGAGCTTTCATTTGTAGATGTACCAGATGAGCCATTGTGATTGTTACAACCTTCAAGACAACAAAATCAAGATGAAGATCGTCAAGACCGACATGTCCTTCCTTGAATAGACGACAAGATACAACGTATTTGGTATCACGACCTTAGAAGATACTTCTGATATTTACTGGACTTAGGTAAATATAAAGTCTTTATATTTTCCTAAAAGCTTCTTAGATGTGGTTTTGATTTTAGATGTGTTTGTAGGTTAGAAACTTAGTCAACAAATTAATCACATGTTGGTAGCTTATAGAATAAGTTAATTCTATGTTGTAGCTTGTAGAATAAGCTAACTATGTGGTCTATATATAGATAATTTACCTTACAAGTTAAGACATGTTGCTAGCAAAGTCAACATATGTTGAAGGCCTTATAAAATATTGCCATGTAGCTCTTAATTAGAGAGTATATATGGAAGCAAGAGTGAAGCCTTCTTCACTCTTGTCAATGCCTTTTTAGTCCTTAATCTTGATTCAAGACTTTCTAGTCTTCTTATATTTGGCAATAGCCATTCTAATTTAATATTATATCACCATTTGAGTGACTTTCTAGTTTTCTTCAGTGATACAAGAGTGTATTGAGGATTGTCTTTCTTTGAGATTCATATCTTTGACAATAATAGGAGTAGTATTAGAAAAAAAAAAAAAAAAAAAAAAAAAAAAATACTAAAAGAATAGTAGAAAAATAAGCTACTAGTCTAAAATTTTAAGAAAGAGCTACTAGGGTCTATAGTAATTTGGAGCCCCAACCTCAATTGGCTCTTTTTTAATTCCTTTTTAGGCCTCATTTAGCTCTTTTTTTAAAAAAATTTCAAAGTTGTAATTTGAAGTTACAAAAATTTTAGTGCCTGACAGTTGAAACTAGTATTTTTTTGCAAGCAACTAGTTGTTTTGGCTTGTGTATTGCAATAGTGTTGTAGAAATTTCTATGATTGGATTCTATGGCAGTGAAGTCGATGGGACAAAGGATCTAGGATTTTGTTTTGTACTTATAGTTTTTATTAAGTACTAGACTTTGGTTTGATATTGGTAAAATATAATTATGTAGAATTTTACAAATTAAGCTAACAACAACATTTTCTAATCACTTCATAAGTTACTTATGCTACCTATTCTAGCCTAGGAGGCCATCTTAAAGATTTATTTTAAAGGTATTTGCATGCTGGATATGGCACTATTGGCAAATATCATCGTTGAGGTTATAGTTCTATAAGTACTTATGGCTTGCACAATGTTATTTTTTTCATGTAGATTTGGTTGTCTTTTTCTTCAATTCCAATCAAATGTTAGAGAGATGGTTCATATTTGACTATGTTATAAATTAAATTGGAGATTTTGGAGTCATTATAAGGCGTACTAAAAGATTGAACCTAGATTCATTCCAGAAGGGATTGGTGGCAGGATTATAACTATGGTTATTTCAAATCTACCATAGTGATAAATTTATATCATTGATATCTTTTTGGTTCTTGCTATTCTTTTATAGCCTTCCAATAAAAGTAGTTCTTGTTCGTGTCTTTTATTATTTTGTGATCTTATTATATTGTTAGATGTGAATTTGAATCTTTGAGGATACTATGTCTTCAATCTTCTTGTAAGCCTATACTTACAGTAATGATTCACTTGTGAGATAAAAAAATGCTAAGTAATAAATAACAGCCAATAAAACTATGCTAATGTATAAGTGTTTGGTTATTAATATAGAGGTTTTTGAAATAAGCTCATAGTTTGGATTTTAGAAATGTTGATGGTAGTTGGAAGTTGTTGACTCATGAAGTGTAACATGTCTTAGAAGTTCATGACAAGGTCACTTAGAGCGTAGCAATAGAAATCTAATATATTTATATTTTTTGATAATAACAAAATAAAAGATCTTGTATATAAGATTCTATACAATTGTGATGCCACATAGCTATGTAGGAGTATGATGAACTTCTAATTGCTATATTTGGCTTTATCTTTGTTGTACTTGGCAAAGAATGTAAGGAATTCAAGCACAATCAAGCTCAATTATGAAATAACTCTTGAATAATTCCAAATTTTTCCAATCAATTGACCAAATTATATATTCACAATCTATACCTTGCACAAAAATCTTGTTGGATCTATATATGGATTGGTAGAGATAATTTATAGGCTATAACAAATATTATTATTAGAGTGGTATCATATTATAATTATTTATAGTATATAAAAATTAACTAAAATAAATAATATATTTATAAGTATTGATGTACATTAGAGAGGTTAGAAGATTAATTTAAAGAAATTTGATGTAAGAAAATTTATTTTTAGATTTAATTATATTGATTATAGTGTTTAAATTATATAAGATTTAGATATTTAGAATAAAATTTAATGAAAAGTTTGGAGCTCAAAGATGAAGATTCAAACCTTTAAGAAACTTATTTGGAGGGATGAAAGCAAGGTATGGATAGATGAAGACAAAAGGTAAAGATCTTCATCTCTATTGGTCGAAGGCCATGACTAATAAGCATTTAGCAAGATGTCCATGACCATAACAAAGGTTTTGGCAACTACTTGAGGAGTATTTGAGAATTAAAACCAAGGGTTGTAAGTTTTAGAGTTTGGGCTATAAATTTTAAAGGATTTGGAATTAGGGTAGTAAAGTTATAGCCATTTAAAAATAAGGTGTCTTTTTAAGGCATATTATTACTATTTTGAGGATACAAGAAGTTTTATGATAGATTTTAGAAATCAAAAGGTGCAACCATAAGGGTGATTCTAAGATCTATATTTTTTGTAAAATAAATTTTTCATTTAGAGTTTGTATGAAGAAGTTATAGTACATTGATGATAGCACATGTAATTTACAGGTAGTAAGTGAGTCGTTTTATTGATAGTAATGGTTGGAGCCATATCTTAAATTTTTGGATGAATTTTTGGCTCAAAATTTCTAAAAGTGTGTGTTATTAAGTTAAAAAGCTATATATCTAAATTTTATGGTATTTGAGTATTTATTTTGTGAGATATAAAGAAATTTGCACATGGGTGTATGTAAGTAAAGGTTTGAAGCTACTGTTAGAACTTTTGCAATATCTCAAGTTTGATGATGAATTTACAATTGAAATTTGTTGTAGTAGTTTTTAAAAAAACATCAGTAGTCCATATAAAACTTTGGTTTGTTTGGATAATCCAATCGTGAGATATAAGTTGTTGAAGTTTGAGAAAAATTCACCTTAAGGATATATAAGTTTTTATAATATTTTATCATATTTTTGGTCATTTTTGGTACTTAAGCCTTATGTATTGATGTAATTGCTCCTATAGGGACAATTTTATATATAAATTTGGTGTTTTTTTTTAATCTTGAGGCTTGATTGAGCAATTAGTGACAATCAAAAGCCTAGTGTTTTCGTAAGGCAAATTCTCTCTATCCCAATAGTAGAGGTTGAAATTGCAACAACTAAAGGGAAGTTTCTGCTTGGTGGATTGCAATCAATTCTTCACACATCTTTGACATCCATCATTCTTCAAAACAATTTGCAAGGTGAAGGCAATCCAATAGGATGATGTTAAGTTTAGATGCATGAGATTTAGAGCTAGATGAAATTTTTTTGGATAAATAATAAGTTTGGATGATATTTCATTCTTAGATGAAAACTCACTTGTGGATGGTAATTTATTCTTGGATTAGGTTTCATAATTCATTTATTTATACTAAATTTAAATAAAATAAAAATATAATATTTTAAAATATAAGCCTGAACTTATAAATTTAAAAATTACATTGAAGAGTAGTTTTTTATAATTTCTTAAACAATAAATTATCTCTGATGAAATAAATCATATTTTAGTTTATTATAATATATCAATTTTTTTAATAGTTATTTTTATATTAAAATATATATAGTAATTATTTTAAAGAATAATGAATCACCACAACTATATAATATAAAATAAATAAAAATACCATGACCTTTTTGGAATATTATTTAAAAAGGTAAAACTATCTATTTAAATATTATTAATATAATAAAGAAACTTATTAAAAAATCCTAATTATAACATTATAAATATTTAAAAAGAATTTAGAATCTTTTATCTATAGCCTATATACTTGATAAGAGTCTCAAGTCGAAGTTTTAAAAGAAATAGAAAATATTTTTTATGAATTTTAATCATATCTATATCAAAATTTTAAATCTTTATGATGAGATTTTAATTATTCTATAGGTATTCTAAATTTGATTGAAACTATAGTATTTGAAAAAATAAACAACATTTATCCAAACATCTAATCATTTATGAATTAGAATTTAAAATGATTTATATGATTGGAAGAAAAAATTTAAATCCATATAAAAACTATTGATCTTGTTCAAATTTACAGAATATATTTGATCAAATTTATTATATGCTGTCTTGAGTTGAGTATTTTTCTTCTGCTTCTGCTGCCGCTGCTGTTGCTGTCAGGCCTTTGAGAGAGTTCAAGGTTCTCTTGCTATCATCCAAGGTGGAGTTGGAAACTTTATAACCTACTATCCATTGCTTCCTTCTAAGCAATGGTAGATTGTTGAAGCTGGGTTTAGCCTTTATAAGTCTGTCGGTTCAAGTCTCGGGTTGCTGGCGTTAGCAGTATCGTAACTAGTAAAGTGTTCTTGAACTTAGTCTCTACTTTGTGCCTCAATTTTGTGTTGATTGGAGGCTTGGGTTGTTTTTTTTTCGTTGGGTCTTCTTTGATTGTGGCCGAGCTGTGGATTGGACCTCTAAAATTAGTGGAAGTTGAATATACGGCAATCCTGCTGCGGTACAAGAAACGGTTTGTGGTTTTGTATAGCGAACTCTGCGTTGTTTGGGCATCTGTGCAAAATTAATAGGGAATAAGGGTCTTTCAATTAGTGCCGTGGATAGAATAGTTTATTTGACTTTCTTCGAGAATAATTTTTGTGAGCGGAAGACTAATTGCTCTTGATTACCGTTAAGTGGGCATGTGAGATTCAAGCTGGATACCCAAGGTGCTCAAGTGGTGAAACCAATTGCTAAGTAAATTAACTCTGCTAGTGGAGCTACGATATCTGGTTCTCTAGTGATTACCCAAGAATTTGCTTCAAAATTGAGTATTTTGAGAACTTAAAGCTAAGAATTGGTTCAGAATTGGTTCACAGGAAATTTCATGTCGACTGTAAAAGAAGCTCTAGGGCCGAGGCTCTCCCACACTTGTATTGCTTTTATGATTTCTTTAATTTTCTGTTCTTATCCATTATGGTTTTCAGTTTCTTGAGCGTGAGCGGTAGTTTTTCAAAACCCACCGGAGTGCGGACCACAAACGCTACCCATTCTTTGTCTCCTCAGCCATAGTTGGATATTGCAATTACGGAATTTGCAAACCCTGTGGAGAATGTTGACAGAACTTCACCATACTCAATGGACAATTGTTTCAACTACTCTTGGTGCGACAATATGGACACGCTTTTGGTCTACCACTACGACTCGTAATATTCCCCTATGTGGTAATTCAAGGATGCATTTGAAAGGATCCTATACTACACCATGGACCCTTCAAAGGCTTGCCTATTCCTTGTCTTTGTGGATCGGAGACTGAACGGTCCACCTCTGAACTGATTGCCTTACTGAAATCATGGCCTCAACCATGTCGTTATCTCAACTGTGGATAAGCTAAAGAATCCTGACGCATGATTGCTTGAAATGGCATCCACGATGACCTCCATCACGCATCAAACGACCTACCGCGCAAGATTCGATATCAGTGTACTCCTGCTGCATAGATTGTTTTACCCTAATTTGCAAGAACGAAGGGCTCAAGATAGAAAGCATTTCTTGACGTTCAAGGGGACTTAGTATGTGGAAGAGAAGTCTCAAGAGAGCAGAGTGTGCAGCAACCCAATTTTGAGAAGGATGCTGAATGGAGAGGATATCTTTATTGTTACCACGTGTAAGCAGGCATTCGCAAACTTCTTTGAATTTTTTTGGAATTCCGCACAAACAAAAAAAAAAAGAATAATATGGTTAAGTGTTGAGTAAGTTTGATCCTAAGAGTATTTGTTTGTCTCCTTCTGATCCTTGGCTCTTGCATTAATTGCAAGTGCCAAACAAAGAAGCATCGCTGAGACGCCCTGGAATAGGGGCCGGTTGTGGGAGTAACCAATCCCTGTACAGCCAAACCAAGTTTGACGACTTAATGAATTCTACCTTAGGTCTTGTTCCAGCTGGTAGAGGGCCAAGCACGTACCGCCTCATGGAGGTTTTGTCTGCAGGTTCAATCCCAATTGCAATTTCTAACAACCTCGTCCTTTCATTCGACACCCTCATTGAGTGGAGGTGGTGCTTGTTCGTGTTCCCTCCCCCCCAGATACACAAAATTGTGCCCACTTTGAGAAGCCTCAAATGGGACAAAATTGAGTTTAGGCAGAAGCACTGTCTCTTCATCTACCGTGAGTTTTTTGGAAGTCAGGACAAGATTGTTGAGACCACTGTAATGGCACTCAAATCCAGGTTCTTTGGTGTTCTTCCCAAACTCATTCCTAAGATTCCCCTTCCTTCTTGGGAATTGAGTTAAAAAAAGAAGGATTCCAAATTCAACTCTCAATAATCTGATTGTCCTCTCTTTCATTAACAAGAAGCAGTCATATTTTATGTTTAAATGTGGTGCGCATCAGCTCAATCAACCTTGTGGAAAATGTACTATAGAGTTGATGATAGAAAGAAGAGCTGCTTAGAACGGTCTATACGCACGACCACCATCTGTTCTATTTGAATTTCATCAAAAAAGGTTCTTAGTTTGTTAGTAGCAACTACCTCTCATTATTTCTTTGTGCACGAACTTTTTCTCGCCTTTTGTTTGTCTTTCACAAACTATTTTGGAATACTTCCTATTGGTTCTTCATGTTATCCTGTTATCTTTGTATTTAGATAACTTGTATTGCTTTACTAACTCTTATACTGGGTTCCATAAAAGGAGCTGTCAGTTGTAAACAAATTGGATGTACCGTAATGTGATGTTAAAAAGTAGGCTTGTGGTCGTTATTAGTTTCATTTGATCTTGTGGGTAAACATCTTATAAATGCTACCAACATATCAATAGGACTATTCTATGTTTTTTTAGAAAGCAACAAACGACACTTGTAAACTCGTATACTACAGGTTTGATTCCGACAACTCTTACATTTACTTTCTGAGTCAATTGCAACTAGAGCTGCTGCAAAGGAGTATTTACTCGAAATGTTTATTGTATTTGGTAAGCTTAGAATTCGTGTATCTGTTTTGAAAGTCTACGGGTTTCAGTTGACCTAAAAGATTGCGCTTGCCAGACTAACTTACAGATACTGTGTCTCAGAAATGTTTGACAAATCTGTTGTTGGTGACGTTCTTACGTCACTGTGGCCTTCATCATCTGCTACATATTCTGAAGTATCTGTGCTGGACGTGTTCTCTGCATCTTTACCTTTGTAAGTCTTGATTCTCCAAGTAAACGGCTCTGGGTTTGTATTCGTTCTTGGTCATGGTTTTTGCTCTGAAATTCAGAAAATCTGCTGGCGTCCAGATAACCCTTGACGAGAACAAGGAGTACATGAATTGAAGTTGTTACAGGCTTTGTGGTGTACAACCGGGCATGTACTCAATTATTTCTTTCGAAATTTGATTCTTAGAGGTACCTAACCCATAATTTTTCTTGAGTCGTGGAGGTTGTTCTTTTAAAAGAGTAATGCGATCGCAATCTCTGCTCCTGAGCATTCCAACAAGGGCAGTTGCAAGGTAGTTAAATTATGTTTGCGTAATAAATAACTTCGATTGTGAATCTTATATTTCCTCACTTCACTTGTCTCAACATTCTTGATCTCTTCAAACACGATGGAGTGGAGATGAACACAATGCATTGTTTTTTCTCAGCTTTGATGTAGGCAGAGGTTGTGAGTGGATCAGGAACAAATTGGATGAGCACAAAAATTTAACACAGTTAGTCCTTTCCTATTCAGAGGATATGTGTAACTTCTCAGCTTAAGGACGATATTCTCAAGTGTGAGCCTCTGCACAACTTGTATCTCGTTTACAAGGGTCATCATTATGAATTGTTTCCATGAAAAATCTTATTGGCTGAACATAACACTCGGAGTTCAAACTCTTTTGCAAATATGATCTGTTCCCAGTCATAGTAGGAAGGACAATTTTGCATAAAGAAGTGTAAAGCTTGACGAGGGTTTAGCCTTCAGGTGCTCTTATCTTGGGCTAAAGATGGGGGTGTGAGAGATCGTACTCTTGTATCAAGAGTTGCAAAAGAGTGATTGCTACCAAGCCTTAGGAATCTCAAACTTTTCCTTGCTTGTCCTCGCTTTTCCTCGTCGCAAATCCATCGCCGCTGTCTGCTTTCTACTCGATTTGATTGGCTCAAATCTGAGCATCCGTTAACGCCGTCACATCGCTCTGCTGCGTGCAAACTACGTGAGAGCGGGGATCTTCTTCTGGTATGTCTTCCTCTGTTTTCTCTTTTCTGGTTGCGGCTTAATCACAATGGCCCTTTGCATCTCCTAGTTTGGCGACTATTAGTTTGAAAGTAGGTGTTTGTGGCGAGTGTTTAGCTACAAAAGCTGAAGTTGTTGCTCAGCGAGCTAATCAGTGCATTTCTCTCAAAAACTCAGCAGCTCGTCTTTGAAGAAATAGGCTTATACATGAACTTGTAGGAAACATAAAAAAAAATGCTCATATTTAAATACTCTTTTGAAATAGAAAAGGTGACTATATTTAGAAAGTAGAGTTGACAATGTATATATTCACCTTTATCTAGTGTCGCTTATTGTCATTTGTAGCTCTTGGTTTTTGTGTGTATAGGTGTTTATGCAATAGCAGCATGGCGCATATGACGTTTGTATTGTGGACTTTCATTTTTTTCTTTAGCATGTTGCAAGAAGTGGAAACAGGTGAGGGATTGAGTAGCAAGAGGGAGAATTCCATGGAAACAAGAAAGCATCTCAAGCCTAGAATTCCTAAACCCCATCTTCTGCCTCGTCCTCTGTTGCATCCTCTGCCTTTGCCTGGTGCACTACTCTTGGCAGACCTTCCTCCACTCCCAAAGTTTATACCACGTTTTCTTGATCTGTTTATTAATTGTTCATGGACTTCCACAATGAGTGAACCTTAGACAAGTGGTTTGATCTTACTGAAAAAAGTAAGATAAATAGTTTTTGATTAGATCTATTTAGTATGGTTTCAATGCATATAATGTTTACTAATAGTTTGAAGTGTTTCTAAATTTACAATGACTTGATAAATGTGTAATATTTTAAATTTTATAAATTTTTTGCTGCTATTTTTGATATATCACCATTTTTCAGTCTATGTTAAATATTTCTTCTTTAAAACAATATTGAGAATTAAAATATAAAAATATTCCTTTCAAACGAGGCACTATCTACAATGGAATATGTTGAACCTCTAAGAGTGTGGATGCATTGTATATAAAGGGAGAAAAGAAGAGGAGGAACAAAAAACAAAAACAAAATCAAACAAACAAAAACACAAAAAAAAGAACAAAAACAAACAAAGATACAAAATAGGAGCCTATGAATGCAAATTACAAATGAATAGTTATCAAGTTAATATATATACACACACATACACACACACATTCACAAATGCCTGCAAATCAATAGCGGTTGGGTAATGGCAAAAAGCAGCAATGCAGAAGCTCACATATCATGAACTAATAAACTTTAGAAAACTGAGGATCAAAAGCTTAGAAGATTGAATTATACGCATGCCATATGCCAATAGGATACTGCGATTGATTTCTTGTCTGCTTTGAAGCAATGCACCATCACTTGTTCCGACATGCTGTTGTGTAAGGGACCCTTTTACTTCGATATATTACATCATCCTCCATCAAAAAATAGCGGATACTGATGACATTATGACGTCGATTTTCTAAGAGAAACACAGTATCTAAAAGCTTAGCTCACAAGCTCCATTTTTGTAGTATATTGTGCTTTATTCGAATAAAGATGGACTAGCTCAAGCACAGTCATTGCCACCACATCACTTCCAATAATATACTTGCAATAAGTTTTGAAAGAACCTCGTATTAGCTAGATCTTCAAAATATAAGTAACTGTGATCTACAAACCAAGTCAAAGATACAACCATAGCTGCAACAAAAATGGCATGAATGTTCGATGTTCTTGCTCAAAAAGAATTGGTATATAAAAATAATAATCGAAGCAACATATTTCATTACGAAAAAAATACAGTACGTGCTCTTTATCACTAAAGTGGGAGATTCTTCGTTAATAATTGCTGGAAGTACATATTCTTCCTTAATAATTGCTGGAATTATTAAGGTTTGAGGCTTCCTTGAGTCAGAACCTATTCTCCAAGTTGCATGCTCACTCCTACCAGAGTCACTTTCTTGCGGCAGTGCCTTGTTGCCAAATTAAGTGCAAGCGACTAAATACTTGATTATTCACAAGCAAGTGAATTAAAAACCTTAGCAACTACAAAACCTGGAAGTAAGATTGTCCCTGCTACTGGGTCCCAATGCTATGCTATGGTCTTTGGTTTTGCAATTATGTGATTGAGTTGGTTGGCATCAATCACAGTTGACAAGACTTCGGAGAAGAATGGCTTGGAGGATGCTTGGCAGCCAAATGACGCTTTCCATTCACTCACTAGAAAAATGCAAGCACTTTCGCATTATCTTTTGAGAATCTTCTTTATTTTGTATTTTAGTATAATGAAATAAGTTTTTACCCCCTTGGGATTCCGATGCCTGAACCTCCACCCACTTTGTGAGGTAGCACATAGCAACAATGACGAATTTGTGGCCTTCCGTTGTTGTGATTAATGGTCCCATGATGTCCATGCCAACACGCGCAAATGATTCTGAAAAGGGAACGGTAGTCAAAATTCGTAACATGATGCTATTTTCATATGTCCGTTTTACCTGGCAGGTCAGACATTTTATAATGAAGGAAGTCACGTCTCCTACTTTTCCAATCTAGTAGTACACTTCTTGTAATCGCTTGAGTGTTCTACATATGCCGAAGTGGCTTGAAGTACGAGCCGCATGAAATAGCTCCAATATATGTGGAAGATTGGAGGCTTTAGGCACTCGCAGGATGCGGATACCTTCTAAAGTGTTCTTTTTGTAGAGGAGTGTACCATCTCTGGCGAGGGATTGAAGGAGGTGGTACCTCACCCTCTTGGCCAGAGTCCAATCCAGGTCGGTGGCAATTGAGCCAGTTCAGCAAGCCTCTGTGAGTGCCTCGTACAGTGCTGTTTCCATCACGTTTCCTTATACTATATGTCAAGCAATCCTCTTATTTCAGGGCGGGGTAGGAAGTGCTTGTCTCCGTGTTTTGCCCCCCTTGGTGCTGACGGACTGTTACAGTAATAAAGGTCGTTATGGTGTAATCAAAATCTCAAAAATTTAAAACATGTGAGCCTATAATCATGCGATTGAGGTTTTATTGTAACAATTGTACGTATGTACGAGAGTCTCTAGAGCACCAATCAAAACTAAATACGTTGATCACGTGATACAATGTATACACGTGAGTGAGGAGGTGAGAATTCACCTTCTAGTGGCCCCCGCCTGGAGGGATGGTCCCTTGAGTGTTCACGGTGAGGCTCTAGGAGCCGTCGGGGCCCCTCTGTGTTGGAAAAGCAACGAAGCTGCGGAATAGAGTCCAGATTACAGAAAGTAGAATTTACGATTTGTGGATAATAACGCAGTAGTAGGACTGAAGGAGCAATGCCCATCTTGCAAGACGCCCCGTAAGGTCGCGCGATGTCATGAGCGCCAAAAGAGGGACATGATTAGTCTCGATTACAAATTTTTATCCATGAAGATAAGGTCTAAAATGCTTAACGGCAAAGTCGACCCCGAGGTCCTCCTCTTCAGAAACTTCGTAGTTTTCTTCAGCCTTCAAAAGACGGCGGGAAGCATATGTGATGACCTGGTCATGGTTGTCAATAGATTGGTTTACTATTGCTTTCACGGCGTCACGACTAGCATCCTTTTGCAAGAGGAATGGTAACTGGAAGTGCAGGTAAGTAAGAAGAGAGGCAGTGCATATATCAGTCATGAGTTTTTCAAAGGCCATTTGCTCGTGTGAGCCCCACATGAATGTGACAGCTTTTTTCAGCAGTCTGTAGAAAGGAGCAGCGGTGACTACAAAATCTCGCATAAATTGCTTGTAGTGGTTCACCAAGCCCAAAAATGACTGAACACAGTCTAAATTAGCTGAGATGGGGAATTTTGCGACCGCCTAGATTTTTGCAAGATCTGGTTGTAAGCCTACGGCCTAGACCACATGGCGAAGATAAGTGAGTTCATATAAGTCCATGACACATTTTTTTGCCTCAAATTTTAGTCCGGCAGCCAGTAGCCGTGCAAAGATGTTGTTGAGATTGGTAAGATACAAGTCAAAATCCTTAGAGTAGATGTTGATGTCACCGATATAAACTCCTAACGTAGCTTTCGGAGGATCATTTCCATGAAGCGTTGGAAGGTGTAAGTTGCGCTGTTCAGCCCTATGGGCATCAAGTTAAAATGAAATAGGCCCCGGCGACAGATGAAAGCCGTCTTCGCCTTGGAGGTTTCAAAGAGTGGAACTTGCCAGAACTTGCTGGCAAGATCAATGGAAGAAAAGATTGTTGCACCTTGTAGCTAGTCCAATGTGTCATCAATTTGGGATAGAAGATAGGTATCTTTTTTTGTGATGGCATTGAGGCAACGGTAGTCAATACAAATCTAGTAGTGTCGTCTTTCTTTTCAACCAACACTAGTGAGGCTCAAGGGGAGAGGGAGGGACTAGCAACTCCCAAATCCAGTAGTTTCTGAACCTCCGTCTTGGTATATCACGTTCTTTGATGCTTTCTTGGTAACCGGTTTGTTGAATGGATCGAGCGGTCGTGTTCGAGCAAATTAGTGTAAATTAATTTACTATCGTAAACTAGTGATAAAGACGTTCAAGTTTTTGTAGAGTAGTCGGGTGACCTTGTGACGTTGTTCGTGGTTGAGATTAGAGGTGAGTTGAACTTCTTTTATGATGACAATAAATCGCTGCTGATTGGAGGGCAGGATAAGAATGGGATCTTGCCGGGTTGTGGTGGATAGAAAGATGACTTTGGGACATGGTGTGTCAATGACACCAATGTTTGTGTCACTAGCAAGGAATAGGCGGCTGATGGTGTTGGTAGGTATTGCTGCTAGCTAAGCTAGCACTTAATTTGCCTATGTGTGGATTGAGGCAGTAGAGGGATTAGCAACTAGCACTGTGATTTATACACAGCAGTGGCAATCATATAGGCCATGGGTTACTATTGCACGACATTGTTCAAATAGCCATTGCCAAGGTTGAATCTTGACGAAGTGATTGGTAGGGCAAGCAAAAGATGTGTTAGTGTGGTAGACATGTTGCAAGAACAGTGGTATTGTAAAGTCATGTGATGCATTGTTGTGTAGTAATACAACTATATAATGAAAGAAAAAAAGAAGGATTACATTATAGATGAGCTTAAATGAAAATACTTAAGCAAATTATCATAGAATATATAGATAACAAATAAAGAGGTAGTAAAAATTAATAAATGCTAATGTTGTTTTCTTGAAGAAGAGACTTCTATTTACTTTGAAGGAGGATAAGGGAACCAAATCAAAGTAATTGAAACAAATAATTGATATAGACATTTTTAGGAAAAAATTAAGAATAGAATTTAGCAAAAATTACCTCAAAATATGAAAGAGGTCAAAATCAGACCTTGAGGCATATAACCATGCATCTACAATAATTCCAAGGTTTTTTTGGTTAATAAAAAAGTAGGATTTGAAAACAAACTTATGAGAAGATTTTTGCAAGTTATTTTTATGTGATTTGAAGGCATATTGAGGTTTTGAATACTTTTCAAAATGAGAGATGTATTCAGTAGATTTGGATTTTGAGAAATAATATGAAGTTCATAAATTTGAGGATTTTGTAAATGTTAAAATATATTTACAAGTAAAATTTTTTTAACATATAATTGTATTTGTCTTGAATGTATTTGAAAATTTTGATATTAAACTAATGGTTAGATTTATAGTTATAGGAATTTTTGTAGATTATGATCTTAGATAATTGAAATTTAGAAATATGAGGGTTTTTGTAATTTTGTAACATCTATTACTTTGATTGAAGCAAAAATTAGAAGCAACTAGTTTAATTTTGAATTCTATACATGAGATTATTTTTAAAGAAATTATATGGTTCAACAAGGAGAAACTGCTTCTAGAATATCAAAATCTAGATTGAAGAAGGACGGTGGCTAATGTT